AATAAAATAAAATAATAAACAAAAGAAGAAAAAAAAAGAAAACATAAGCTTCTTGAAGGTAGGGACTGTTTCATTATTGTCTTCATTTTCCCCAGCACCTAGCATAGTGCCCGGCACATAGTAGGCACTTTAATAACTGCTTGTTGAAGTGAATCGAATTATGTTGGATCCTGACTGAGTTCAGACTAAATACCCCAGAGAAGCCCCTGCCCCTGCCTGAGCAGCGCTAACAATTTTGCTTCAGTCTATTTCTCATCATGACCTGGGGACCACAACCTTCAGAGGATAATGACATTGCCCTGTCTCTGGAACATCTTTCTGTCTACCACCTCCCTTCCAGGAGTTACCAAGACCCTGAGATCTTCCCTCCACCCCTGGTTTATATTCCTGCTTGCTTAGCAGCAGCATTGCCTCTACTGCTTCTCTTCTGGGTCCACTTCCTCTTGTGGGGCTCAAGAGCCTTCCTCTCTGCAATCCCCTCTCCTTAGGGCTTTCTTTCTCAGGGGACTCGAGGAGAACCCCACGGCCCCTCTTACTTTGGACTTCCTGGTTTCATGCAGCAACTCTCCAACCCGCTTTTCCCTCTCCACAACGATTGCCCAAATCCCTCTGCTTACAGGAACTTAGAATCACAGAATCAATAGTGCTTTCCCCCCCAAAAATGTTTGCTAACATTAATGGGGGGAAAAAAAGAAAATTAAGCTGGTTTGAAAGAACTGATGCTATATTAGGCAGCATGGCTTAGTGGACAGAAAGTTTGACTTGGACTCAGATGTCCTAGGTTTGCGTCTTGCGCCTGTCACTTATTACAGTATCTGTATGATCATTGTCAAGTCATTGAATCTGTGAGCCTCAGTTTCTTTATCTGTAAAATGAGAGTTAGACTAGTTTGGCCTCTCAGATGTCTTCCAGTTCTAGAGGTAAATCTAGTACTCTAATCCTATGACCCCAGAAACTGAAAAAGATAAGAAAAATGTACTATTTTGCAGCTCCTAATAGTTAATTGTCCAAGGACCAGGGAGAATATATTTGTCTAGAGATTTGCAGATCTGATCAAGAGAGAAAAAATTATTTACACAGATGTGTTAAGCCAGATACAGAGAGAAGCAGATATGGAAAGGAAAAAAACAATAGCATGGAAGTGCCTTGTAGTTTATAGGAAACCACATCCATGAAGAATCACGTAATCTTAGGGTTGGGAGAGACCTCAGAGGCCACGCTGTCTAACCCAGACCTGACCTAGAATCCCCTCGTTGGATTATCCCCGTTGGAGATAATATAATGTCCAACGATTGTTCCTTCAGCCTTTGCTTAAAGATCATTAATGTGGGGAAACCTGCTCTCTCCTGAAGGCAGTCCATTCCATTTCTGGATAGCGTTAACTATTAGATTTTTTTTTCTCTTTTTAAATAATTTTAAAGTCATTTAAAAAAACAAAACCAAACCTCTGTTTGCCTCAGTTTTCTCATCTATAAAAATGAGAATTGTAATAGCACTTACCTCCCAGACTTGTGAGGATTCAATGATATAATAATTGTAAAGCACTTAGCACAGTATTGGAACACAGTAAGTGCTACATAAATGCCAGCTATTATTATTATTATATTCAATTGGTTACTTTCAAAACTGTCCTATTTAATCTGTGC